GTGTCGCTAATACTCATGTACCTGCAAACGCGTCTTGTGTTCCTGTTGGCATCGTTGTGCAAGTGCAAAGAACTGGTTATATAAACATCTGCCACTCTTCAGCATATGTCTGTGCGTGCAACATTCATACATATATTCAGCTCATTTCATGACGTGCCGCTCCATAAAAAATTACAGCACGGTGACCTTCCCTCTGCATGCTTCCCATAACGTTGATTTCAAGGTACGTGGGATCTGCCGAATTTTTTTTTCCCTTTTCCTTCACTGCGCTTTGGCCTACAAAGTAACAGACTAAAGCACACAAGCTCAGGCCTACCTTTCTCTCTTCTTCTAATAAAGTTTCTCAATCTCTCTCACCACAAATTTCTTCCTAACCTTTTCGCTCTTCTATGTTTCTGAAACAAATATTTCTTCTTGATTACTGTCCTGCATCTGATTTCTTAGAACAACATTTTGAGTCATACAGCAAGTACGCTTACGAGAGTGAATGAAATGGGAATTCTGGGAGGTCTCTTTCTTTTCTTGCTAAGTACAACATTTATTAGAACTAACATAGAAAAAAGCCTAGGAAAATATAGAGGGTAGGACTTGCAGTAATTATGATGTAAATGTGAAGAAAGTAAAATGGATGAAAAGATAACTTGTTGCTGCCAGCAACTGAACCTGCGACCTTCGAATAATAAATCTGATGCTCTACCTACTAGAGTGTTCTTGGAGTGTTGCACATCCAGCATACGGTGCTCGGCATTGTTTTTGTTTGATGCCAGAGGCCGACTTTATACAGAAAAATTTCGGCACACATATTAGTACTACATCGTGAACAATCTTGTTGGTAGTATGTTTACAATCTTTTGTAAATTCTCTACATCATCAAATAGGCAGCGTAATACAACTGTGCTTGGCGTTGAGGGCCTCTTCCAGGCTAGAAATTTGCAAACAAACAAGCATAGATACGACAGTGGTGATCATATATGCCAAGTATGAAACAGCTGCATGGCACAAAAACATCTGATATTTCAAGCTGAAGAGAATCCACTTATCTTTTCAAGGAAGGCCTGTTTCGAGCCATAGTCAAGATCATATGCCCTATACAGCTGCTACATTACCTCCATTGTCAGTGACCATGGCAGGCTACATCACTTCATATTCGGATAGATGCTGTGAGTGTCCCCTTTATATTGGCGTGGCGACCTGTGTGCCGCCAGGCTCGGAGGAAAAAAAAACACTTTGTTTTAGTATCATCATTCATCTCAACCTACAGCATTGTTTACATCAATTAAATTGTTCTTGTGAGTGCAAAACATCGTGAAAAGTTGCTCATTTTGCAGGCACCCTTTTTTCATACAGAGGCTTGTGCTCGCTCTCTTCAGAGATGCCAGTGCCTGCTGTTTTGACGTCGAACAGCAAATAACATGATTATGGCCAATAGCCAGCATAAATCAAGAGCGGCATTTGGATCAGATGTGCTTCTTGCCATGCAGTGCCACCTCATGCAGGTGCCAGGCTCTATAGTCTGCTAATATTACACAATCAGTGCAATTGTATGCAGGAATCTTAACGGGAAAAAGTGATCGCGTTTCATCGTGCACGCTCAAGTTTACGACGTGGGCTAATGTAACTTGTCTACCCTGTGCCATCCCTCCCTGTGCAGCTTCTAGCGCATTTGTTGGTGCAAGAGAAGAGAGAATGCTCTTAAAGCATGCAATAAAATAAATCACTGTAATTCTATTCACTTTTGACAGATTCAAGAAATTTTTGCTACTATTGATTCATGAGCCAATAAACTCGGATACTGAAGTCGTACATTGATTACTCAGAAAAGTTGTTCATAACCCCTTTATAAACCCTTAGCTTCATACTAAATAAAAATTGGTGAAGGCAATGAGCATGGGCAGTTCACATCTTTTTGGGTACTGTTTCATAATCCTTAGCATCATTTCGTGCTTTCGATTTTCACATGCTGCGACCTGTAGTATGAAAAAGATGTCTATACCATAGCATTCATACTTTTGTCTATCATTGCGATATTACCTTCATTGCTTTTACATAAACCAAATGTAATCATTGACATGTATTTGTGGACAACAAACCCTGCACAAAAAAGCACGGTCAACCACATCTAATGTTTAAAAAACTGTTGAGTTGAATTGGTCACTTCCAGATACCACAGAAGTCTATTGGTGCTTTGGTGACTGGAGGATTTATAGATGAAAAAAACATGAATTACAAAACGCAGATGGCAATACCCATTCAAATTCGTGCAAACTCCCCCATGACATTATAAATTGTGGTTGACTCTCATCAAGTTTACCTGAAGGTCTTCTTGCCAGGTTTGGGCATGGCAGACAAAGCATAGCCCCTAAATCGTTTGATGGTGATCCTATATGCAAGCTGTGAAACTGCTGTGTAGTGCAAAAACACACGCAATTATAAACTGAAGGTGGTGTGCCCTTATTGAGGGAGGCACATTTTCAAGCGTAGTCAAGTCCTTTGCCCATTTGCCCTACACAACCGGCCCCCCTTGGAATGTTACTGAACATGGAATACAAAGCATGCTCTGCTGCCTCTGTAGATGGATAGTAAAGCAAAAAGAAAAAGGGAAGTGAAAAAAATGGAGACAGGAATAGTCGTGGAATATTGCACATCAAAGAACAAAGAGAAGGTAGCCATTTGCAGGCGCTAGCCAAGGTGAAGCGAAAACCGTCTTTGCCAACAATGGCTGTCCTTTCCACTTGGCATGATAACTATGCAGTTAGGTTTCTTACAATCCCTCCAATAATGAAACAACTGGAAAAATTGTTTCAATGAAATTATCTATACAGCATGCTTTGTAATTTCCTCTATACAGCCGAAATTTGTAACGAAGCCCAATGATAGTCATTTTATGTTGCTCAACGAGGAGGATTTCATATTTTAATTTCTAAAGTACATTCAGACTAAGTCTGACAGATTCTTGGAACTCTTTATATAGAAAAATGGCAAAAATATACAGTAAAATTACGGTAGCACAGACAAAGGACACGGACAAGAGAAGGCACATTCAAGACAACACAGCGCTGTGTTGTCTTCAATGTGCCTTCTCTTGTTCGTGTCCTTTGTCTGCGCTACCATATATTATCATGCTACCATACCAACAAGCCCAAATCGCCACCCTCAGTAAAAAACATTGAGGTGGCATTACCAGTGCTAGTTTAGGCTCAAAATCTAACGAAAGCAGTTCATCCATAGTTTTAGCTGAAAGTAGCTCTTTTTGGGAAATACAGAATGGAATAAAACTCCTTGCCATTCCAACCTGATGCAGCGTTTGCCCAGTATTCTTTTAATGTGTTGTTTTCCCACATTTTGTACCAATAGGAAGCTTCAGTATTATCAGCCAGTTTGGTAAACCACAATCAATTCAACCTTTATTTTGCTGTAGGATACAAAGGCCTTATTATGTGCATTGCTTTCATTTCTTTATTTGATGCTATGCAATGAAAATGTTCTTGTGTCTCATGCAGTTTCATTAGTCAAGAAATTATACCTCATTATTCAGCAATTTCACCTTCCATAATTCCAATCACTGATTTAATTTTTAGTAGCACTAGTTTTGTGAATTTTCTTATGTATATTTAGTTTGTTAGTGCAAGTTGAAAGGACATTTGTTGCTGTAAGTATAGCTTTACTTATAATCATTGTTAAAGAGACTCACAACTGCCCACAACATGAAATGAGATGACTGCACGAATGGAAAGGTTGTCCCTTATAGTGACTCAAACCAACCCTGTTTTTTTTTCCATGGGAAGTAAATTTTTGTTTTTGTTTCTTCATTGAAAATCACGTAAAATGACCTGTGGCGTCTCTGGTGGCAAAAACATAAACTATCATGAAGGCCTTGTCACGTGACCATGCGTTAATGTACACGGTCAATAATTTATTGGTTAGTGCTGAAATATTGTTCGATTTTCCTTAACAAAAGATAATATTTTAAAAAAGTATATGTATAAGCTTGCTTTGTAGTACGCATTAAAGTGGAGCTGCCTTTGCATGACATGCGCAGTTTCGTTTTCGATTACTTGGCTTGGCCACATGGTACAAATGTAGGGAAGCTCTATAGAGCCACATCATCTCATTGTAGCGGCTTGTTATTTTCAAAAATAGTTGTAAAGCGCAGAATAAACGTGGATAAGCATAGTTCCAGGAAATCCTGCGAAATAAAAACGATATCATGCGTAAGCCACCAGAAAGGCTACCGGCATCGCTATCAATACTCAGCGTTGCTGGATCAAAAGACACTACCGTGTTCAGAGCCTTTCTGATCGAAAAATATTGCTTATAAAATTACTACGAGCTCTTGGGATTAACTATTGTAGCTACGATCACTACGAAGGGTAGGCTTTCTGTCGCGCAGGAAAAAACTGGATCGAAAGAAGTCAGTTGTCGGTTCCTTGAATGCAAATGTGGCTTTTACTTTGTTTATCACTTATTACGATGTATGCATTGTCTTCTTAGTCCTGCTGCAGGTATCAGCTGCATAGACTTTGTTGTGTTTAATGCTATTGTTTTCATTAATTTAGATTTGGTGATTTTATTAGAACAAAAGCTACTAAAGCTAGTGTGCCCCATTCACAGGGTTTCATTTAACATAAATGTGCCTTGTGTTTGTTTATGGCTCAGGACCTCCATAGAATAATTCTGTTGTATGAAAACGAAAGTCCTGCTAAAAATGCAGTTTCAGATCTGACAAAATAATTAGATTTGTAATGGAGCATTTGGCTGACTGCTGTGCCACATTGGCTTGTCTTGGCACTGTTGAGATGCAGTCGATGTAACAACCACCCAGTTGCAGTGTCCGTAATAACATTCCTATGTTTATGCCATAACTTTCATGGCTTCAGGTAGGGTTACTTAAACAAGATGAAAAATTAGGGCAGCATAAACAAGTAATTGAAGTTGCACAATTTTTTTTTTATTTTAGCTACATCTATGAAAGTTATGGCTTGCTCTTTCTGTTTTTTTAGGTACCCGTCAACAAGCCGAAATGTGGCGCTCAGCCCCAGACATGGTGCGCAGCGTTCTATCCAAGTATCAGCGGGAGTGTTTGCTTCAAGAGGAAGGCTCCCGCCAAGAGGAGAAGCGCCAGAGCCTTGAAGATGCTGCCTGGCGACTAGTCTGTAAGCTTCCACATGCAAACAAGTTTGTCTGCAAACCTGTTGAGGCTGTCCTGCGTCGAGCGCTCGAAGATGATGCTTCCTTTGAGCCTCTTCAAGCTGCCACCGCCTTTGCTGCTCTCGAAGAGTATGCTACCAACCTGATACTCCAGCCATGGCGAACCGAATTGCTACAAATTAAGGTACCTTTCTTATCAAGTGGCTTTTAAGTAATGTCTTGGTTTGCCCTGGGCTCAATTAATGTCATTTACGTGCAGCTTTACAGTGGCTACTACAAGCACACCGTGGAGCGATACCTCAAGAATGCAGAAACAGTACTTCAGCTGATGGGCTATGAGAAGCGAGAAGGCGGTGTGCTGTACTTGACTGATGCTGTAGACACTGCCACCTTGGGTGATGTGGCACTAGATTGCCTCATAGCAACAGCTGAATGTAGGGTAGGTATTGCTTGCTCTGTAATTGTAGCATCTATTACTTTCCCCAATGCCAGCAAATGCATGTGACGTTTTTATATGTAAAAAAAACTTACCATAATTACTCGAATCTAACGCGCACTTTTTTTCCGGTTAAGCGAGTTCATAAATCGCATGCGCGTTAGAATAGAGTACGAACAAAAAAATTAGGGTCAATCTATTGCCATCGGCAAATACAAAATGGCCGCCCCCTACGTGCGTCGGCATGGCGCGTCGGCCATTTCTGCCTATGTGTTTCCCATGTGCGGCACTTCGTACGTGTGCTGAGGAGTTTGTCATCTAGTATTGCATTAGCATCGACGGCGTGGAAGGGCCGACTCCAAAAACTCGAGTGCACCACGATGCCGCTTTTAAAAAAAAAGTCATCGCGTGTGCAGAAACGGACGGAAATCGGGCCGCATCGCGGTCGTTCGGAGTTCCCGAAACGTGCGTGCGGGACCGGCGGAAACAAAAGCAGAAGATTGTCGACAGCAAAGCTTCACGCAAAGGCTTCAGTGGACCACAGCAGGGTCGGTATCTGCAAATCAAAGAGCTGCTCGGCGAGTATGTGCTTGAGTAGCGAGCGGCACAGCGGCCCGTGACGACAGAACTGCTCCAAGTGCGGGCTGTGCAATTAGTCTTAGAAAAAGGTCTAATGCAGAGCCAGTTTATAGCGAGCAGGTGCTGGCTAACTAACTTTATGAAGAGGAAAGGCTTTTCCCTCCGAAGGGGAACATGCATATGCGAAAAGTTTTGCGGAGGAGTACGATGAAAAGCTTCACAGTTTTCAGAGGTTCGTCCTAAACTTGCGGCGCAACAACGGCTCTCTGCTTTGGGCAAATCGGGAATGCCGATCAGACGCCTCTTTACTTCGACATGCCTGGCACCACAACCGTCGAGAAGGGGGCGAAGCAAGTTCGCGTGCTGACATCGGTCCACGGTAAAACTACAGTGACGGCAATGCTCTGTTACACGTCAGATGGGCACAAGCTTCGCCCGTACCTCATATTTAAATGGAAGACGCTCCCGAAAGGAGTCGTTTTTTCGACTGGTGTGATCGTGCGGGCCAGCGAGAAAAATGGGTGCGCGTTGCAATCGATGTCTTACGTTTTTTTTTTTCTTTTCGCGGTGAAAATCGGGTGCGCGTTACAATCGAGGGCGCAGTAGAATCGAGTAAATACGGTACTATGTGAGAAAACAGCATTTATGAAATCGAAAGTGTAGGCAGGTATTCGCGACCTGATCAGACATGGGCCCTCATACTGGAGCCTGCCCTTCGTACCCACTGGGTTAAGTGTTGCACATGCTTCAGATAGTACAAGCTATTCAGTGCAGCTGTTAAACACTTAGATGGTGGATTGTTTAGCTTCGGTGCTGCTTGAAAATTCAGGTGAGCTCTTATGATATGGTTCAGGGAGCCACACTTGTTCATAGAGATTTGAAGGTTGCAGATGCGCTCCCCGTCAGTGGTAAGTTCTTTCATTCATGTTACTTTCTACACATGTACATCATAAATATACTACAATTAGTGTTCCCTATGCTTTCTTTGGTGTTATTGTCTGCTACTTCCCTTTATAATTGTGTCTAACAAATAGAATACACACCCTTAAAAATTATCTTTTTTCCTACACTTGTTCATAGAGCGCATTTTTTTCTAATATTGGGCACGAGCCTACCACTGCAGATACTGGTGCTGCAGTTGTTGTGACATGCTATATTGCATCATGCAATCAGACCTTGCTCTTACAAAAAGAAGTGAATGGCTGGAATTTGTTGCTTTCAATGTTTTCCACTTGAATCAGCCCCAACTTGCTCCCATTTCAAGTGCACAGACTTGTTGAAACTGCAAAAGATTGTAGGGTGTGACCAATGTGACCACTGCACCAGACCAGTGTGTTGCCTGGTACAGTGGGTCACAATGCACAACACTCACAAAATATCAGGGTGTAATTTCTCATGGCTGAACTTGGTTGAACTGGTGTTTGCACCAAGCACTTCCAACAAGGTTACTTTCTATGCGTATTTGGAATGCAAATGTTTGGTGAGTGGCAGACTGTTACAAAAAGCATCCAGAGATGGTGCAACCATCGCCTGCAGTGTCAAGTCACACGCTGCTTCGGGATTCTCCGCTTCCGTCAGTGTTTATGTTCTCTTCCTCCTTCTCTGAACCCCGAGCTGAAATATCAAGTTGCGCCTGGCCCTCTGGTTCGCAGGACACTGCCCCGCTTCCGAACACTCTGCATTCGTACCTCCATGTAGCCACACCTATTCCTGTACCCCAACGCTTATTAAACTCAGTTAATCCCCATTAACGAAAGCCCAGTGCTTAATTGGCCACTTGAATAATACCAACAAAACAGAGACAACATGATATGACCACACACTCAGTATGATGTATAACATTCTCACTCAGCACCTGTACTCATTCACGATACATGTGCTGTAATTTGTTTAAGTGCAGGGTTATAGCCATGCAGCGTAGGTTTAAAAAAAATATTATAATGCTGGCTGAGGATCCCCGATGTTTCATCCCAAAAGCTCTTTACTTCCCACCTTTCCCTTAAAAGCCTGAGGCAGGCCATTATGAGAAGCACATCATTGCTTCATTTTCCTTTTTTAGATCCTTTGCAAAGTATGTTTTCTTACGGATGCAGCCATTATGGTGTACACCACTTAGCACCCTACAGAGACGATTCCGCATGGTGGCACTGAAATATGTCCCCGCCCCCAATACATAGGACGGGTTGCATAGAATTTAGTAGGCCCAAATGACACGTTAGTTTGGAGTTGCCTCCTTGCCACTGCTTCCTCTTGCATGAGAACATGTTGCAGTGGTGGGTCGGTACCAACGATTGATTTAGTGTTGTTTCAGAGTGGCATTATATTGTGGAGACACTGGCTCAAAGGATAACCTCAAATCCTCTTTCTGCAGTTCCCATACAGCACAAGCTCTGAAAACAAAGTGGGCATGCTAATTTCTACAGTTAGATCAGGACTTCGTGTTTATAGGAAGACAATTCATGGTAGTTGCCCATTGGTTGCCAGGATACATGCAAAAATGTTGAATATCCTGGTTCTGCCAGAATTGCAGCAGGTTGTTAATCAGTAATGACATAGTTTGTGAATCGCAGAATTACACTGAAAACAGTTGCAAGGGCAATGGCCATCTCCTCCACTTTGAGGGCTCTGGCAGTGTGCAATACTGTCTGACACTATCGCCCTACAGGTCAGTGTCTACCATGCTTGCAGGCCCGTGTGGGCTTTCTGTTGCATCGGTGACATTGTTTAGGCAGCCACATCTTTCCTGGAAAAGCTTAAGTGTCCCTCTTCAATCGCCTGGATAGTATTCTGTGCGCATGTTTAAAGCAGTTTAGGCTACACTTATGCACAATCTCTTGTTTGTAGTCAAGTTTTCATGTGTGGCATCTCGAGAATTTAGTCAGGTTCCTGCCCATTGGTGTTGGAACTCAACGCGGTATTTGGTTTGTTAGTGGGCCATCTGTTATTTCTCAAGCCTGATTGCGGAATCTCGGAAGTTTGAGTTTGGTTTAGCTGTTTTCGGAGGTAATTGTAAGGCCTATTTGTGAACTTTATTTATAAAAGTTTACCTAATGTTCTAGTGCAAAAACTGTGCCAATCGTGTTTGTCAATCTCATCATCCCTAAAAGGCCCCTAAATCACCCAAAGGTCGAAATTGAGTTGTGATTTTGCAGTTCTGCACGAATGTACGGCGATTAAGTTGCCTTAAGAATATTTCGAAACGGTGCCACAATTGTCGGGTTGCACACGTTTGACGATACAAAAGACACCCTCACTAATTTCGCTCTTTTCTTTTCTATGCTCAGTTCGAGAGTTCGTCCCTCCTCCTAAGTGTTCCTCTTCACCGTACGAGGAGGAAAAGCAGCAAGCGCATGGGCCTTGCTGTGTGGTGAATATCGAGGGGATGAGGAATCCTGAAAGGCACTGACAGGGGAAGGGATTGTTTCTCGGGGCACCCACGGCTCCTAGCACTGCCGCGTTAGTCAATGTTGATCATGCCAGCATTCAGAAATCAATATAGCTGTTTACTTAAAATGTTTAAAAAAAACGGAGGTGGTTTGGGGGCCTTTATAAACAACACTATTTATGGAGTCCTGGAGTATTTGCCTCGTGGCATGCTCAGCAAAAAAAAAACCATATAGGTATAGTGGAATTAAATTATGTGCATAGTGTATGTTCCAGATACGTATTACAGCAGGCAACATACACAAAAACTAAAGCATCTCATTAAAATCGGCATCTGTAGATCACTCAGTATCAGACGCACGTGCAGCATTTATTATTCCGTGGGCTAACAGATTAAGACTTGACAGTCTTTGAATGATATTCATCGTAGACATTAGGGCTGTTCTTTCTCATGCAAATTCCCTGCAAGTACAAATTAAAAGCTTCCTATTATGCCTGCCTACTACTTCCCATTCTGCAAAATGTGAACCTGAACCGTTGCTCTAGAAAGTATGGGTTCTTGACTCGAAATCTCCTCACGTAGTAATACTATGCAATTTATGTGCAGTAATTTAGGTGTTTTGCCAATTTCCTGTTCTTACAACTGACAAAAATTACTTCCTCTGTTTTTCAATCTGTGAAGATGGTGGAGTTGTGGAGTGTGTACCTCGCTCTCCGTCCGCATTTGTGATGGCGTGCAAGATTGCAGCGGCTTCCACTGTTGCCACTAGTTTTCCTTTATTACTGGCCACTGCCGTGTACGTGCGGGACGCACTTGGAGTAGTGCTGGAAGGGCGGGCATCTGTATAGTACATGTCAGGTTCAGTACCGTAGTTGCGAAGCTTCTGCGCACGAGCTTGGCATTGCGGGCTGTGGAACACCGAGTGCACGTGATGCGGTATTCATGCCACGTGGATCTGCGAGCGTATGGTAGGAGAGAGTAATTCTGTACTATCTCCACTGCTGCGGCGCAAGAGGAATTCCAAGCTTGGTCAATATAG